CATGTTTGAGAAAAGTTCAACTTTATTTCAGGCAAATCTGATATCACGTGCAGCTTTTTGATTGGTGCAGATGGTCAGGTTTACGAGGGGAGAGGTTGGGACATTCAGAGCGAATACAGTGGAAGTTATGGTAAGTGGACATGGTTGGGACATTCAGAGCGAGTACAGTGGAAGTTATGGTAAGTGGGACATGGTTGGGACATTCAGACCGTGAACAGTGAAGTTATTGTAAGTGGAATATGGTTGAGACACTCAGACCAAGTACATTGGAAGTTATGGTAAGATGGATATGGTTGAGACATTCAGACCAAGTACATTGGAAGTTGTGCTAAGTTGGATATGGTTGGGGCATTCAGACCGTGAACAGTGGAAGTTATGGTAAGTGGGATATGGTTGGGACATTCAGAGCGAGTACAGTGGAAGTTATGGTAAGTGGGAAATGGTTGGGACATTCAGAGCGAGTACAGTGAAAGTTATGGTAAGTGGTACATGGTTGGGACATTCAGACCGTGAACAGTGGAAGTTATTGTAAGTGGGATATGGTTGAGACACTCAGATAAAGTACATTGGAAGTTGTGCTAAGTTGGATATGGTTGGGGCATTCAGACCGTGAACAGTGGAAGTTATGGTAAGTGGGATATGGTTGGGACATTCAGACCAAGTACATTAGAAGTTAGGGTAAGTGGGACATGGTTTGGACATTCAGACCGTGAACAGTGGAAGTTATGGCAAGTGGGATATGGTTGGGACATTCAGACCGTGAACAATGGAAGTTATGGTAAGTGGGATATGGTTGGGAATTCAGAGTACATTGGAAGTCGTGGTAAGGCTTATCATCATGATTCAGATCCTGTAGACACTTTGCTTGTGACAATTGGCCATGGTGAAGAATTGACACCCTCTCCGAAGCTTTTGGTATGTAGGATTTTAGTGTAGTCTGGTATTTTGGGTAGATTTTGTCCCATTTTTGATTTATGTATGTTTGGCTGTGTTGAGTGATGTAGGTATGTTTGGCTGTGTTGAGTGATGTTGGTATGTTTGGCTGTGTTGAGTGATGTAGGTATTTTTGGCTGTGTTGAGTGATGTTGGTATGTTTGGCTGTGTTGAGTGATGTTGGTATGTTTGGCTGTGTTGAGTGATTTTGGTATGTTTGGCTGTGTTGAGTGATGTAGGTATGTTTGGCTGTGTTGGGTGATGTTGGTAGGTTTGGCTGTGTTGGGTGATGTAGGTATGTTTGGCTGTGTTGGGTGATTTTGGTAGGTTTGGCTGTGTTGAGTGATGTTGGTATGTTTGGCTG